GCCGGCCACCGCGCTGGGCTTCAACCCGCCGGACCTGGACATCATGGACAAGCCCCCGCGCAGCCCCAAGGAGCCGCTCATCTCGGGGTGGCTCTTCTTCCGCTACCTGGCCATCGGAGGTGAGACACACCTGGGGTCAGCTCACGGTCAGTTGGGTCATCTGGGTCACCTGGTGGTCAGTTCATGGTCAGTTCATGGTCACTTGGGTCACTTGGTGGTCAGTTCATGGTCAGTAGGGTCATCTAGGTCACCTGGGGTCACCTCCTGGTCACCTGGTGGTCAGTTGGGTCATTTGGGTCACCTTGGTCACCTGGTGGTCAGCTCCTGGTCACCTAACTTGGGTCACTTGGTGGTCAGTTCATGGTCAGTTGGGTCATCTAGGTCACCTGGGGTCAGCTCCTGGTCCCCTGGTGGTCAGTTCGTGGTTATTTGGGTCACCTGGGTCAGGTGGTGGTCAGTTCATGGTCACCTTGGTCACCTTGGTCATTTGGGGTTGGCTCATGGTCAGTTGGGTCACCTGGGTCAGGTGGTGGCCAGTTCATGGTCACTTGGGTCACCTGGTGGTCAGTTGATGGTCAGTTGGGTCATGTGGGTCACCTGGTGGTCAGTTTGTGGTCATTTGGGTCACCTGGATCAGGTGGTGGTCAGCTCGTGGTCAGTTGGGTTACCTGGGTCACCTGGTGGTCAGTTCGTGGTCAGTTCGTGTTCAGTTTGTGGTCATTTGGGTCATCTAGGGTTGACTCATGGTCAGTTGGGTCACCTGGGTCACCTGGTGGTAAGTTCGTGGTCACCTGGGTCACCTGGTGGTCAGTTCATGGTCACCTGAGTCACCTTGGTCATTTGGGGTTGGCTCATGGTCAGTTGGGTCACCTGGGTCACCTGGTGGTCAGCTCGTGGTCACTCGAGGTCAGGAAGGGGCATCAGTGGAGAGGGTTGTTTGAGGGAGCTTCAAAAAATGACGTGGAGACCCCAAAAAACCACCTGGAGACCCCCAAAAACCACCTGGAGACCCCAAAAAAGCAACCTGGAGACCCCAAAAACCACCTGGAGACCCCAAAAAACCACCCAGAGACCCCCAAAAACCACCTGGAAACCCCAAAAAATCACTTTGAGCCCCCCTTGGAGAAGGTTCCTTGAGGAACCTTGTGAGGAACACCTGGAGAACCTCACGGAACCACCTGGAAACCCCAAAAAAATCACCTTGAGACCCCAAAAAACCACCTGGAGACCCCCAAAAACCACCTGGAGACCCCAAAAAAGCAACCTGGAGACCCCAAAAACCACCTGGAAACCCCAAAAAATCACTTTGAGCCCCCCTTGGAGAAGGTTCCTTGAGGAACCTTGTGAGGAACACCTGGAGAACCTCACGGAACCACGTGGAAACCCCAAAAAACCACCTGGAGACCCCAAAAAAAACCACCTGGAGACCCCAAAAAAAACCACCTGGAGACCCCAAAAAAAACCTGGAGACCCCAAAAAAAACCTGGAGACCCCAAAAAACCACCTGGAAACCCCAAAAACCACCTGGAGACCCCCGGGGTGGCCCCTTGGAGACCCCCAGGTTGTCCCCAGGTGTCCCCAACCCCCGTTTGTCCCCCCCAGGCTACGTCGGGGCCGCCACGGTGGGAGCGGCCGCCTGGTGGTTCCTCTTCGCCGAGGACGGACCCAACGTCACCTACCACCAGCTGGTGAGTCCCCAAGCGTCCCCAAGGTGTCCCCAAGGTGTCCCCGAGGTGTCCCCGAGGTGGTGACCCCGAGGTGACGCCGATGTCCCCGATGTCCCCCCAGACCCACTTCATGCAGTGCTCGGAGCACAACGTGGAGTTCGAGGGGTTGGACTGCGACATCTTCGAGTCGCCGGTGCCGATGACGATGGCGCTGTCGGTGCTGGTGACCATCGAGATGTGCAACGCCCTCAACAGGTGAGGGACGCGTCGCCGTGGTCATTGTCACCTTGGTCATTGTCACCTTGGTCATTGTCATGGTTGTGGTCCTGGTCATCATCATTGTCATGGTCATCGTGGTCATGGTCATGGTCATCATGGTGACCATCGAGATGTGCAACGCCCTCAACAGGTGAGGGACGCGTCGCCGTGGTCATTGTCACCGTGGTCATGGTCACCGTGGTCACCTTGGTCATTGTCACCTTTGTCATGGTCATCATTGTCATGGTTGTGGTCATGGTCATCATGGTCATCATGGTCACGGTCATGGTGGTGACCATGGAGATGTGCAAGGCCCTCAACAGGTGAGGGACGCGTCGCCGTGGTCATTGTCACCGTGGTTGCCTTGGTCATTGTCACCGTGGTCATTGTCACCGTGGTCGCCTTGGTCATTGTCACCTTGGTCATTGTCATGGTCGTGGTCGTGGTCATCATGGTCATGGTCATGGTCATCATGGTCATCATCATGGTCATGGTCATCATGGTGACCATGGAGATGCCCAACGCCCTCAACAGGTGAGGGACATCATCACTGTGGACATTGTCACCATGGCCACCTTGGTCATTGTCACCTTGGTCATTGTCACCTTTGGCATGGTCATCGTGGTCATCACGATTATGGTCATCATGGTGACCATGGAGATGTCCAACGCCCTCGACAGATGACAACATTGTCACCATTGTCACCATCACTGTGCCCCCACTCTCTGGTGACCCCCTCGATGTCCCTGATGTCCCCACGACCCCCTGGTCACCCCGATGTCCCCATGGTCACCGCGATGTCCCCGATGTCCCCAGCCTGTCCGAGAACCAGTCGCTGGCCCGGATGCCGCCATGGGTGAACATCTGGCTGATGGGCTCCATCTGCCTCTCCATGTCCCTGCACTTCGTCATCCTCTACATCGACCCCCTGCCCGTAAGGGGACACCGCGGGCGTGGCCTTGGGGACGTCGGGGTGGTGGTCGTGGGCTTGGTGGCCATTGGGTGGTGGGATCTGCCTCTCCATGTCCCTGCACTTCGTCATCCTCTACATCGACCCCCTGCCCGTAAGGGGACACCGCGGGCGTGGCCTTGGGGACGTCGGGGTGGTGGTCATGGGCTTGGTGGCCTTGGGGACGTCGGGGTGGTGGTCGTGGGCTTGGTGGCCATTGGGTGGTGGCCATTGGGTGGTGGCCTTGGGCACATCAAGATGGTGGTCATGGGGTTGGTGGCCATTGGGTGGTGGCCTTGGGGATGCTGGGTTGGTGGTCAAGGGGTTGGTGGCCATTGAGGTGGTGGCCATTGGGTGGTGGCCTTAGGGACATTGGGGTAGTGGTCATGGGCTTGGTGGTCATTGGGTGGTGGTCATTGGGTGGTGGCCTTGGGGACATCAAGATGGTGGTCATGGGGTTGGTGGTCATGGGGTTGGTAGCCATTGAGGTGGTGGTGGCCTTGGGGACATTGGGGTGGTGGTCATGGGCTTGGTGGTCATTGATGTGGTGGCCTTGGGGACATCAAGGTGATAGTCATTAAGTTGGTGGCCATTGGGTTGGTAGCCATTGAGCTGGTGGCCTCGGGGATGTTGGGTTGGTGGACATTGGCTTGGTGGTCATCAAGCTGGTGGTCATCAGGGTCGTGGTCATCAAGATGGTGGCCTTGAGGACATTGGGGTGGTGGTCATTGAGTTGGTGGTCATCAAGCTGGTGGTCATTGGGTTGGTGGCCGTTGAGTTGGTGGTCACCAAGCTGGTGGTCATCAAGCTGGTGATCATTGGGTGGTGGCCTTGGGGACATTGAGTTGGTGGCCATCAAGCTAGCGGCCATCACCTTGGTGGCCTTGGGGACATCAGATTGATGACCACCAACATGGCCACCGTTGACCTTGAGTGACCGCTGGGTTCGATGACCACGGGCGGGCTCTGCTGACCACGGGCGGGCTCTGGTGGCCACAGGGGTCACTTTGGTGGCCACGGCCACCGTGTCGACCACGAGCGTTGACCTTGGCTTTGATGACCACTGGCTTGAGTGACCGCTGGGTTCGATGACCACGGGCGGGCTCTGCTGACCACGGGCGGGCTCTGGTGGCCACAGGGGTCACTTTGGTGGCCACGGCCACCGTGTCGACCACGAGCGTTGACCTTGGCTTTGATGACCACTGGCTTGAGTGACTGCTGGGTTCGATGACCACGGGCGGGCTCTGCTGACCACGGGCGGGCTCTGGTGGCCCTGGCGGTGGCCCTGGTGGCCCGGGAGGAGGTCCCAGCCCTGTCCCCCCATGTCCCCAGATGATCTTCAAGCTGACGCCGCTGTCGCTGACCCATTGGCTGATGGTCATCAAGATCTCCTTCCCGGTCATCCTGCTGGACGAGGCCCTCAAGTTCATCGCCAGGAACTACCTGGAGGGTGAGGAGGTGGCCCCACCCCACCGGGGTGTCCCCATGTCCCCCCCTGACCCCATCGGGGTCGTCCCCACCCTCTGTGGTCACCTCCATCGTGTCCAGGTGACCTTGGCCATCTCCACTGTCCCCTGGTCACCTTCATGGTCCGTGGTCAGCTCCATGGCCACCTCCATGGTCACCTTCATGGTCACCTCCATGGTCACCTCCTGGTCACCTCCTGGTCACCTCCATGGTCACCTTCATGGTCACCTTGTGGTCATCTTCATGGTCACCTTCATGGTCACCCCCTGGTCACCTCCATGGCCACCTTGTGGTCCCCCCCTGGTCACCTTCATGGTCACCTCCCTGTCCCCTTGACCATCTCATGGTCACCTCCATGGTCACCTCTCCATCCCCTTGACCATTTCATGGTCACCTCCATGGTCACCTTGTGGTCACCTCCTGGTCACCTCCATGGTCACTTCTCCATCCCCTTGACCATTTCATGGTCACCTCTGTGGTCATCTCCTGGTCACCTCCCTGTCCCCTCGGCCATCTCCAGGTGACCGTGACCATCTACCATGGAGATTCATGGTCACCTCCCTGTCCCCCTGACCATCTCATGGTCACCTCCATGGTCACCTCCATGGTCACCTCTGTGGTCACCTCTGTGATCACCTCCTTGTCCCCTTGACCATCTCTAGGTGACCATGGTCACTCCCTGTCCCCTTGACCGTCTCCTGGTCACTCCGTGGTCACCTTGTGGTCACTCCATGGTCACCTCCTGGTCCATGGTCCCCTCCCTGTCCCCTCGGCCATCTCCAGGTGACCGTGACCATCCCTGTGTCCCCTCGGCCACCTCCTGGTCACTCCACAGTCACTTCCATGGTCTGTGGTCACTCCATGGTCACTCCCTGTCCTCCTGACCATCCCTGTGTCCCCTCGGCCATCTCCTGGTCACCCCCATCCACTCCCTGTCCCCTTGGCCATCTCCGTGTCCCTTTGGTCACTCTGTGGTCACTCCGTGGTCACTCCGTGGTCACTCCCTGTCCCCTTGACCATCTCCGTGTCCCTTTGGTCACTCCGTGGTCACTCCGTGGTCACTCCATGGTCACCTCCTGGTCCATGGTCACTCCATGGTCCATTGTCCCCTCCCTGTCCCTGTGGTCACTCCGTGGTCACTCTGTGGTCACTCCCTGTCCCCTCCCTGTCCCCGTGGTCACTCCGTGGTCACTCCCTGGTCACTCCATGGTCACTCCCTGTCCCCTCCCTGTCCCCCCCGTCCCCGTGTCCCCTCCCCCCTCTCATCTCCATCTTCTCGTCCCCAGCGTGACCCGGCCGGGCCCGGCACCGCCCCAGGTACCAGGGACAGCGCGGTGTCACCATCGTCATCGTCACCGTCATTGTCATTGTCACCTCTGTCATTGTCATTGTCACCTCATCGTCACCTCCGTGTCATCGTCATCGTCATTGTCACCTCATCGTCATCGTCACCGTCATTGTCACCTCATCGTCATTGTCACCTCATTGTCATCGTCACCTCATTGTCACCTCCGTGTCATTGTCATTGTCATTGTCATTGTCATTGTCACCGCGGTGTCACCTTTGTCATCGTCATGTCACCATCGTCATCGTCATCGTCATCGTCACCTCATTGTCATCGTCACCTCATTGTCATCGTCACCATCGTCATCGTCACCTCTGTGTCATTGTCATTGTCATCGTCACCTCATTGTCACCTCTGTCATCGTCATTGTCATTGTCACCGCGGTGTCACCGTCCTCATCATCATCATCATCGTCATCGTCATCGTCATCGTCATTGTCACCTGATTGTCACCTCTGTGTCATTGTCATTTTCACCGCGGTGTCACCGTCCTCATCGCCACCTCATTGTCACCTCATTGTCATTGTCACCTCATCATCATCGTCACCTCTGTGTCATTATCACCATCGTCATCGTCATTGCCACCTCTGTCATTGTCATCGTCACCTCATTGTCATCGTCACCATCGTCATCGTCACCTCTGTGTCATTGTCATTGTCATCTCATCATCACCGTCACCTCTGTGTCATTATCACCATCGTCATCGTCATTGCCACCTCTGTCATTGTCATCGTCACCTCATTGTCACCTCCGTGTCATCGTCATTGTCACCGCGGTGTCACCGTCCTCATCGTCATTGTCATTGTCACCTCATTGTCATTGTCACCTCATTGTCA